TATGCACGTTACACGTGGGGAAAACCTCGAAAACGCCAATACAGCCATCCCCGTCGATCCGGATTCGAACCCCGGATCGACCTGCCAGAGTTCAATGATTTTACAGCTCAGCCGCTAGTGAGCCACACACACACACATCCACACTATACATTAAATAGTATTTACATGTCGTTTAAAGTATAATTGAGTGCAATTTAATCATAAAGTTAGAAAATATTCTACGGAATTACTTCACTTCGTAGACTTTTTGTAAGCTTCACATATTTCTTAAGAGAATCTCAAGTGCTAGTTCCATTTCCAAGTGTTTATGTACCTTATTTTTATGCTTTTGAATTATTTAGAAAATTATTTCACTTGGTTATAGCTGAAAATGCAGTTTTTTTATTGAAGAATTTAAGGGTAAGAAGAGAATTATGCCCTTTTCTAATTATTCTTGAAGCATTTAAATTTTTTTTAAAAAAGTGCACATTAATACGGATCACTGAACTAAAGTGCTCGATACAAGACAGATTAATTAGCTACTAAATTTTGATTTTCGTTGAGTAAAAAGGAATTCATCTGCATTCTATAAGAAAGTTTTTTGAAACTTTCAAGAAATGTTTTTTTTTTTCCTATTCTCGCAGTCATAATATTTTCCTTAAATATTCAGCTAATTCATATTCAAATATTCCAATCATTACATAAGTAATAAATCGATACAGTAAATAAATAATTAAAATCAATTAAATGGAATTTTAATGATTTTAATTGCCATTTTCCCTCTGATAAACCCTCTTTAGAGTCAATAGCAGCCGATCAGCTTTGTTGGGGGTTCATTTTTCTTTGGGATGCTTACGTTATATATGTATGTATATGTCTACTTGTCAATGCAGCTTTTAATTTTTTTGGAAAAAATCAATATGAGAATCCAGAAAATGAACTTAGCGACGCTAAACTATTATTACTAGGCACTCTCATGCCACAGTTTTAAAAAAAATCCCATTGTTAAAGGTAGATTTATGCTCATCTTTTAGTCTAAAATTAAAAGCTGCGAGTCAAATTAAGGGGTTGCTCTTAGAAAGCCTCAATTAGAAGTAGTTATAGGAAATGTTAATCATACTTTAATCTTACGGATTAACACTTGTTCCTATTTGATCACGTGTATGGCAAACAGATATTCGTTATTCAAAAGAAAAGAAAGGTGAATCAAAGAGTTATTTTTGTTTTTCCACTGCAAACATCTAAGATTATGGATTACTCTTAAATATGCATAATAATCAGAACAATGGGGGCCTTATTTTACTATAATTTACTAATGAAATCCTATTTGGTTTCCAATTACTTTCATTAATTGCGTTATGATATACTGATACTGAAGGAACCTAAAAACCTAAAAAAAATATATTTCCCTTATGATCCTGACACGCGTTTACTTTCCCTTTCGTAATTAACGTCAGTCTCCTGCTTGACCCCGCATTGCCAAGCCACCGGTCTGAACCGTGGCCTTAGAGATAAATGGCCTGGTTAGCTACTAGGACGTCACGAAAGGGGTCGATTCTTCCGTGACTTCTTTGCTTCAGATTTGAATGAGCGTTTTTCGCGTTTAGAGTGTTTGTTTTAATAATGCATAATAATTAATTTCCAGAGACTTGAAACGTATATAAAGGTTATATTCATTTGCAGTTAAATTAATAACAATGAATAATTTTTAAGAAATATTCACGCAATTTTCTATGCCAGGTTAGTATCTGTGCTTTTTTTACATGATCTTTGTTAGGATGAAAAGCAAAGTTAGGAATAAGTAAAAAAAAGGCTGTTCTTTTAACATAAAAAATGTCTTTACGTTTGAGAAGGGAGGCCTGAAAGAATGAAAATTTTGAAATATAAATATTCACTAACAAATGTAAATATAATTTAGCCATTAAAAGACATAAGAAATACTTTTCCTTAAAACTTAAATATTTCAGAGTTCCAACATTATGCAAATGTTTTTTAATTCTTTAAATTACTATCTAATAATGAAAAAAAGCCACAGAAAATTTAAATCTCAAAACTTCGTAAATTAAGTAATTCCAATTTTGCGCAACATTACAGAAACGATATTTTTAATATTTATATGTTTCTTAGCATATTATATAATGTACATCATTTTTAATATTACATTATTTTTATATGTAGATGCATAATAAATACATTTACAAATAAAGCCATATAAGTTTTCCAAACGTTAAAATCCAATAATTTGCCAACGAAAACCTCAAAACCCTATAATAGAACAGACATCATTCTGTAATTGGAATACTGTGCGTTGTCTAGTATATGAAGCATTATCGCAATGATAATTTTTTGAAAATTATGAGATTACAATATAGGAACATCAAAGGATTAAATTTAAGTAAAAGATACATTATGAAAATATATTTGAACTGAAATATTAGACACTATTTTTAAAAAATAAAACAATGCATTTCCATACTCATCTTTTAATCAGTATTCTTGATTTTTAAATTTTTTCATCGCTTTTTGTTGATATTTTTTGAGAACTTTAGTATAATTGTTTAAACAAATTTTGAAACGGGTTGTCATTTTTTTTAATCTCTAGAAAGGGAATTCCCACTTAAACAAGTTTCATGAACATCAAACATGTTAATGTTTTGTACATATATTCGGTAAGTTTGACAGTAAAGAATGCAGTTCAACTTCTTACTGGTTTTCTTTACTTTCAACTGGAACAACTTTTCCTAGATAATCTCTTCTATATGAAGCATACAAAGATACTTTTTAATTTTAGGATATGGATGAAAATGAGCAATAAAATATAAATACCAGCAACAGATTTGTGTAAAATAATATTTGAAGTATTGAAATATTTAATTTATTTGGTAACGTAAGAAGAAAAATCCTCCAATGATGCTTGTTGTCCTTTCTCAAAATTCATTTAAAATAATTCTCATCTTAGTCTTTTTTCCTCCTGCTCATCCTTGAGGGTTGGACTTCAGATGAGTATTTTGGACAACCAGAAAAAAATGCATGGTAAGCATCATTATTTAATTAGGATGCCCTCTACACATTGAATAAAAGTACCTTCGTTTGTTGGTAAATAATCATAGCTAATTAATCTTTTTCGAATTTTTCACATTGAAAATGTTTTTCACATTGAATTCTCTGCGATCACTTGAAATAAAATTTTCCTTGGTTTTTTTTTTTTGATCATAAATCCCGTTTTATATCTTGAAATTGGAATACTGATATATTCATTAGTGCCATGTAATTAGATTTGCATGCTGGAACGCAACATCGTGCAGCATGATGAAGACAGCTCTACGTAGACGTCGATCGTTCTCTTGTTAACAAATCAGTTAATAGTAATCTCATTAAAACGAAAATATCCTAACAACATTACTTAAAGTAGCAATAAAAAGACACGAATATACAACTTACAGCACGCAATCGATAAAGAGTCTTCGCTTGCGTGTCCACACAAGCAGTGCGAAGGGTGAAAGTTTCAGCGTTTAGTGACGTCAATCACGTGATTCTGCAGCTGACCGGCCATCAATCTCGAAGGCCCCGTCTGAACACGGGGGTTAGCATGGCCGTGACTTAGCTGGCTGCTGGGGTTCCGTCGTTCGCATACGGCACTTCCGTAAGAGCCAATTACTCTTCGGAATCTCAGCGACGATATCTTTCTCTTAGGAGGTAGGTCTCTGTTTTGCCTTAAAGAAATAAGCCATTTGTTATGTATTTTCTTTTAACAAAAATCGCATAGAAGCTTACTGTAAAATGAATTCATTTATTTCAAACCCTACCTATTTCCGTGTTATTTTGTATAAAATTTGTTAAAACTGGAAGAGGGAATTTAGGAAGATGGGTGAGGGCGGGCAGTTTTAAGTTTTTGCCCGTAGGAAAATGCTAAATCCGGCGCTGGGTTCGGACTGAAAAGTTGGGAACCGGCAGCGAACAAAAATCCGGTGAATGTCCTTTAAGAAACTGTTTGGACTGCATAGCTGACCTAGATACTTGGATAGTATAAATCTGGGCGCTTCTTGTAAGAAGTAAGCTTGATCTCCGATTAGAAGCCGAAATAAATAAGAAACGTTATCTGACAGCTAGATAACGTTTCTTATTTTTTTTCTCTTTATTAATTTACTTATTTTCGTTATTAATTAATCATTTATATATTTAAAATATAATTTTATTACTCTAATTCTTTAATTTATCCGTTTTTATATCTTTACTTATTTTTTGAACGCTCCTCCAAGGAAATTTAATTAATGCGTAATTGGAATAAATTTGAATCAGTGTTTTAAGTATAAGTAATTTAAATTTCTATTGTAGTAAAAATTTTTTAATATTATTTTTAACTGGAAAATTTTTTTAAAGTAAAATGTAGAGTACTAAAAAGGCAGCCATTGTTATTGACCACAGATTAATTGACTTGTCAAGGGGAACAAACCAATCCACTATCAAACAGCAATAACCAAATTAAGTGAGAGTGTTTCGTCATTTATCCAAGTAAGGATAAAATTACTTATTTGGTTAGAGTTGACTCAAATTTATTCCAATAATTCATCGCATTAATTAAATTTATGTTTGATGGAGATGATATATAAAAAACTTTTCTAATAATAAATTATTGATTTATTACTTGACAGCTTTAGAGCAAGTATTCGGCTTACTCATAATTACTTGTTTACTTAGAATTTACAATTTATTTGAGTTTTAACTTTATTTATTGTGATTTTACTTATTATTTTGTGTTCACTGCTCCTGACGACCTTCTGATGCTGCTAATTTTAGAAAATTAAACTCTATCCCCCCCCCACTAAAACATGATACTAATGGATGTAGTCTGAATAAAGCTTGTGGTTTTATGCTTTGTGGTCTAATGTTTGAATAAAACTTGAGCTTCACACTCGATACTCGTATCTATACTTAGCAGACATTAAAGTTCATTTGAATGTAACACCACTACCAAAAACCAGTTCCAGTGGTCGACGTGGCGCATGCGTAGCAGTATCATTGAGTTTCGTGATTATGCTGGAGAGAAATGATTTTGTTTTATTTATTGTTATTGGTTTGCGCTTGTCAATGATTGTTTCGCACCGTGTGCGTGATAATAAAATTGCTTAGCTTTTCCTCAAATTTTTGCAATTATTATTTTTTTAACACATGTTCAAATATGAATGACAGTAAATTAGAAAACGAAAAGTCCAAGAAGGATATGGTCGCATTTTCGAAACCTTATCTTGTTCTGTATAACTCCGTGCAAACAGCAGGGTAAGATTAAAATTTATTCGGAAAACAGTTTGTCTTCTTATATTGTTGCAGTGTAAACACTGAAATACGGTGAATGCATATTAAAAGCTATACTTATTATTATTATTATTATTATTTATTTAAGTTTTGGTACATTGTATTTATTATGCTATATTTTAAATTGTTTCTTTTAAAGTTTGATTACTTGATTAAATATTCACAATTTTTGTTCTGTACAGAGCAAATATTGCAGGCTATTGGGAAAAACCTGAAGTCCTATGTAAACCGTTGCCTTAACAGAACATGAATGTGAATTATTAACAGATTTTGTTTTACACCGAGCCTTTTTGAAGGTTGCTGAAAATATTTACTGTGCTTTGAAGAACAAGAATTTTTAAATTGAAGTGCTTCCATTGGTTATACTACTTAGGATTATGTGTTAAAGGGCATTTTGTAGAACTTAGATTCTTTTGTAATTGCAAGTTTCCACTATTAAAAACATAGCCTTAAAACTATATTAATGAATGAAAGATATCAAGGTATTTATAGTTATCTGTTAAGAAACAACTCTAAAAGTTTTGTGTTAGTGAATTAAAAATAAACCTTTTGTAAATATGTCATACTCTTGTCTACTGTTTATAGCATTTGTTGCTGTTAAATGAGTATGACCTGTTTTTTGAAGGAAGATTTCAAAGGTTGATTTCGAAAGGTTGGCAGACCTTTTAAAAGATCTGCCTTCTTAAAATGCTTTGGGAAATTTTTAATGTGGTAGTGATCCTGCATAAAGAAAAAGTAACTTCATCAGGTTTATTTACAGCTGTAGCCATTAGTGTCCATTATGTTGGTTAAAATAAAAATTTTAAGCTGATCCTAATTAATTTTATGTATTAAGTTGTTATGAGCTAGGTAAAATGTTAAGAGTTGTTTCATTGTGATACTGATTCTAGTATTTGGTTAGCTGATATATATGTATTGATTATAGTACTTAGTTCATTGCTTGAATATGTATTATAAAAAGTTAAATTTGAATGTTAATAGATAGCAAAATGTGCAAAAATATTATGCATCTTTTAAGCAAAACTAGAATTTAATTGGCTGAAATTCTGTAACTAGGTTTAAATGGCTGTTTATAAATAAATGTTAAATTAGTTGTAAAACTAGATAACATCGGAGATGAAAAGTTTTATAACTGTGATATTTATCTTCTGTAAGTTTATAATAAAGATTTCTTCTAGCAAATCAGTTTAATGTTTGAAAGCTTAATTTGAATGTTAATCCAATAGTTTAAACTTCCATGTCTAAGGTTATGTTAGTAATTTAGTTTCAGATTAAAGTATAAATGAAAAATTAATAACCAATATAAATAAATATCCATGTATTGTGTATGCATATTGTATTTATAAGGAACTTAAAAAAAAAAAAAAAGACATCTAAACTTGAAGAAATGAACTATACTACTGCTTGCTTCTGAGTTAGAAGGGCTATATGCGATTGCCGTTGAAAACAAATCAGATTTGAAATGTGCTAACGTAAGGTTGCTTATTTGCTTAATTTTAAAATATGGAGTATTAATGCAACCTTAGTCTTTCTTCTGTATGGATGTTGTTTAATTATCTTAAGTATCTTATCTGTTTTTTAATTATCTTAAATGTTTATTAAATAGTACCCTTTAAGGCGATATTTTACTTTAGGCAAGATGAATTAATCTGCAGATGCAAAATCTGAGATGTAAGAGGGATTATTAAGATGAATCACTGTAAAAAATTGAGTTTTTCTCTGTAATAAATTGCTGCATGATTACATTTGTGTGGCGAGAACTACGATGAGTAAGTATCAGTATCTACATAGAGCAAAGTCACACAGAATATGCCATTTACATTTCTTTCCATAAAGTGACAACATTTTAAAGGAAGCAAATTGATAATCACTTTCAGTAGACGCATATGGAACTCTGTTAATATTGATAGAAGAGAAACATGCCAAAGTAAAACATAAAAATAGGCAAAGCAATAATCATGTGTTGGCATAGATTATAAGACTCGATGCCTTGTCAAAGTCTTTGAATCTTGACTAAAATCTACGCAAGGTTGTTGCTTTGCCTAATTTTATGTTAGTAATATTGTATAAAGAATTTCAGTCCTAGCCTAAGAACCTGTAATTACTACTTCATTGATCATAAATCCAAATTTTATAGATATACTGTGTTTACATATGTCATTATTTTTAAAAGTTGTGTCATTCCACCTTTTTAAAAATAAGTCTTGGAAGATGAACTTATTACACTGTCAAGGAAAAAATATTTATATAATTGCAACTAGTAGTTGAACATAAAAATATCAGGATATCTGGAAATTAATGTTATAATTTATAAAAGAAAGTTATAAATTAATGTAAAATATAATTCTGCCTCTCAAAAGTAAGATTTGAATTGTGTTTTTACAATTCTGTATACGTATGTGCAAGTATATGCGAAAAGGTACTCACATGCACACATATCCTCATGATTAGTTTTATTTTGGAGAATTTATTGAAAATTACTTATTTTACATGTAATTTTTTATTTTTATTTTAAGAAATTTTTTAGTTACTGCCTTATAACTTAAAAGTATTTTCGGTACTGTTCTGTTAGGATTGGATTCAGAAAAGTATGAATGTATGCATGTGTGTATGTATGTCCATATATGTGCATATGTACACACATACATTCATGCTTACATATTTACATGCATACATGAACATATACATCTATACATTTCTGGATCTGGTCCCCTGACAACAGAACAGTACCATATTTTCTTTTACAGTTTACTCTATATGGCAGTTTTAACATTTTCATGTTTTGGCTTTTACTCCTAAACCATTTTTAGTAGTTTTACATTTTGCTTTTGTGGAATTTTTTTTTTTTTTTTTTTTTTTTTTTTTTTCAAAATTTTATAATTTATTTATCACTTAGTGTTTCAAGAAATCACTCAAGTTTGTTATTTATTCCTACAGTATATTATGTTTTTAGATAATCACACTTTTTTCTTCTTCAGAAGTTTTACCTTTTACCAATCCAAACAGTAATTTTGTGATTATAATGTCACATATTAGTAGTTTTCAGTGAAAATAGAATAAAATTTGTGACTTTTGATTACTTTTATGTTTCATGCTGTGCATATCAAAGTGACATTTGCTATAAATATTTTTGCTTGTGTAAAAGTAATTAGTTGTTTATCATGTGAAGCTTATCTTAAATCTTTTTCTGTTTTAGATGGAGTTATATACTTTTTCAAACTTTGAAATTCTTAATAGAGAACAGATCCATTTCTGGGTTATGGGGAGTTATTGGTTCAAGTTTATTAACATTTCAAACTCTTGCTGTTTTAGAAGTAAGAATTTATCATTCATAAAATTCCTTAATTTGGCTTTATGAGTTATATCTTGTTATCTAATTAATTAGCATAATTGTAGTTACTTTGACTGTGTTACATATGAAATAAATGGAATTTTGTTAAAAGAAGACATTTACAGATTTATTGATTATTAAGCTCAAAGACATGTTTATTTGTAAATTTGATTTGGTTATTTTCCTGAATAATAACTTATTGATAATCGAGATGTGTAAAATGATATTCTGTTAAATATTATATATGCAGAGACACAGCTAAGGTTTTCAGCACCCTGGGACAACTGAAGATTTTGTACCACTTCCTATTTGCCAAACATAATGGGGAATATCAATTTGGTGTCCTCATCGAGGGCAGATGCTTCTCCTTTCCCCTCCAGCTATGTTACTGCATATATGTGTGTATAGTTGTAGTTCATTTTTAAATCTCTTCATAAGGAAAAAATTCAAAATACGTGCTTCATTGTTTTGTTATTTTAAATGAAAAAGATTGAAATTATTTCATGTGTGTAAAATTCATGATTTTAATTATAAAATAATTGCTTAGACTAATGTTATTTCCATAATTTACAGTGCTGCCCGCAAAGAAAGTTATTGGGCCTCCTAGCAACAGTCGTCACAAAACCTTAAAATCTGATTAAACTTTGATATGTTGGTTAGAGTTGACTTACCCCTTGTATTATCGCAAAGTTGTTTCAGTTGTATCAAAACTAAAAATCAAGTTGTACTAAAAATTAGTTGTACTAAAAATCAAGTTGTACCATTTATTCTTTAGTCCACTTCTTCAAGTACAAATAATAAAATTCCTTATCTCTTTTTATGTACCTTCTGTAATTTGATGCACATATGCTGGTGAATTTATGCCATTGTGTGTTTCATTATAGCACCAGCCACAGGAGCTTGTTAGTCTGCCACAGTTTGTCCAGTGTTGATAATCTGCCACACTCGGCACAGTGTATATTCAAGCAGTTGCTATACGTGGTATGCTCAAGCAGTTGCTACTCAGGATTTTTATTTTTTTGATGGGATAAACAGCTTCTGTAAAAAGTACTTTCAGTGTGTGATGGAATTTTGTTATATACAGTCAAAAGTCGTTAATCCGGACTTGTCGGGACTTCGGCGATTCCGGATTATAGATCATCAGTTTAAATCTCGTTAGATGGCATGCAGAAATTCTAAAATTAAAAATATGAAACCCGTTTAATTTATGAAATAAAGAAAATTATGATCTAAAGGGTATCAAAATTTGCAAAAAAGAAAAAGCTAATATATTTATTTTTACTTTATTAAACATTTCTTTCAATGTAAGTTGTTTAAGTTTTGCTTCGTTTATGTGATAATACTTTCTTTTTCTTCTATTTAAACAGACATAATTTCTTGTTCAGTTACAAAGTTCCGCTGTTCAAGTCCTATAATTGCTGTGTCAAGAACACCGACTAATTTGTCAATCAAAATTTTTTCGTTTTCAATAACCTCTGTCGCTTTTCTTCGCTATCGGAAGCGAATTATAATGACAAGGAACTTGTTTTAAATCATATCAAAGACAGAGCATATCGAAATGAAATACTACATTTGGTAAGGAATTATAAGCCAAATAAAATAAAAACATCTGCGCTGAAGATAAGGATAGTGCTGACAGATCAACTTCCAATTCATTATGCGCTCGCCGCGGCGTTCCCCCCGCTGAGCAGCGTGAAATTGATAAACAGATTTCGGATTTCAAAACATACTTTCGCTTTAGATCCTTTACATATTAACAAATATATCGGAAATTCTATTTGATATAATCGAAAGTTTAAGCTTACTTTTATAAAATTGCTCTAACAGTCTGCAAAAAAAATAATAAGCCGATCCAATTAGAAGATTAAGGAACAGCGCAATCATTAAACATTAACTGAAATAGATAATTAGATAATTTTAGCTTATACGTCCACTATACATAAAACGCGCACGCGAAAACGTATTCTGCACTTGCGCACACTCATATGCGCAGTCGTAAAAGGTCTTACACGCACGCGTAAACGCCTATGCGCATGTGTCAATGCTGCGCATGCGCAGAAAGTTTTTAGTTTTGAGGTCCGGATTATAGATCATTCCGAATTATGGGTGTCCGAATTAACGACTTTTGACTGTATTAGATACTTTGCTTTATTTTCATTAGCAATATCTGTAATACATCATGAGGATTGTAAGCCATTTGGCTAATAATGCTTCATACTTATAGTTAAGAGCCTGACATGCCCTCCTGAATCATACCATTCAAGCAGTAATAACTGCCATATGACATATATGGCACCTGCCAAAAATGAGCTTTGTAATTCAGATACATTATGTTTTCAGTTCATAACTCCAAAATATTGCAGATGCAAAAGTCACTTTATACAATTTATTCTGGAAGCTATAAGTCATTCTAAAGTTATGCTTTGTACCAAGTGTTTTTATTATTATTATTATTTCCTTTAATCACTTTTAAAATTTTTGCCGCGTCTGATGCCAGGAAGTATGACAGCTTTTAACCCCTTAACTGCCGCGGAAAACGTACAAGATTCATTTCCCAGTGCCACACAGGTTTTTCACACAGGCGCGCGTAGTAGTTATGCGTTGTATTAGGGGGAAAATAAGTTCAAGTTTTACTTTCTAAAAACTGTTTACTTTCACAAAATAAAAAATAAAAGAAAAAAATGAATGCACAAAATTTGAGTAAAAGTATAATAAAAAGATGTCAGTATAATAAAATGAGGGTTTATAATAAAAAAGTCCCTAAAATGGAGTTTCGATCAATTCATTTTAGACCAGTAAAGTCTAATATCAGGTTTCAGTGTTATACCTTGGGAATCAAGTATGCCTAAAAAAACATATTTCTTCTGAACTGGTTGAATGCCACGATTTTTGTTCTTGATTTTTGTTTGCAAGGTGTTAGTTCATATACTCGTCTACAAAAACGGTTAGTTTCAGTAACATATGAAGCACGAGCAGTTCAAAAAATAATTCAAAAAAGATAAATGGGTTGAAACGTCCGTTATATCTTTCTCATTCCTGGAACCTACTACAAAAAGTAAACGAAAATGGAGGACAGGACAAAAAAAAAAAAAAAAAAAAAAAAAAAAGTTTACTCAAACAACACAACCCAATACCGCGCAGTCATTACTTTCACCACTTTAGACACACCCCTCTCTCCAATTTCTCCTGAAATAGTATTTTCCTTCGTATATTTTGTCAAGGTCATTGTGGTGTTGCATTCCAAAGCTTTGCGAATAATTTTACGGGTAGCAGCGCAAAGCAAATGATAGCAGTTTGGAAGGACGTATATATACGCCTGGGGCAGTTAACGCATCGGCTGAGCAAAGGCGTATATATATGCCCGCGGCAGTTAAGGGGTTAAAAACAGAAAAGTTTTGGCTGATCTTTGGAATATGGTAACTGGTAGTTTGGTGACATTTTGGAGGCGATAAAGGTTACTACCTAGGACTTTGGTAATAATGTGAGAACTACTCAGTTCCGATTATGCATTATTTTGTGTGAGGGAAATGAGAGATCATGAGATATGTCATTTTTGTGCAATTCTGGGATGTTTTTTTTAAGTAAAAATAAGTCGACGTGTACATGGTTTAGTGATATTTTAATTAAATGATAGTTATTTTGTGAATTTTATGTTTGTAGGAATTTGGTATACGTTTCAGTTAAAGTAAACGTGTATGGAAATAATTTAAATATTTGACACTAAGTATTTGTAACCATTTGTAATGTTTGTGGTATGAATTCGTTGGTGACGTTTATAATATAATAGATAATTAGAGGTAAAAGTTTTGGATATTTTATTTATTTTATACGTGGAAATGTTCATCCTTGGAAAGGGTATATACTTTTTCGCGTTTAGGTAATTTTATATAGTGCTTTTTACCGAGTTTAAAGATTCACAGAATTTTTTTGCATTTTCGTGCAAATTTTTGTAATTTTATGAGAAAATAGCAGTGTAGATGGATAAAGTTAAGAGTGGTGCAATGCCATTGCATTTTTGTGCAATTCTGGGATGGATGTTTTTTTAAGTAAAAATAAGTCGACGTGTAAATGGTTTATGTGTATGTACTATTCTGAAAAACGCGCAAGGAGTTTGAGATTGTGCCCTTTTTCCCAATTTTGCAGTTAATATTTGTCATGATTAAGCAGTTTTGTTACATAAAATTTATAGCATAAGTGTAATTCGGCTAGTAGATTGTTGGAAAAAGTGTTCAGTAAATAAAAAGAAAAGAAACGTCTCAACTTCATGAAGACAAAATGGCGGCGAAAAAAAAAATAGAGGGTTGCTGTAGCAGAGTTGGTCGCCAAATTTTTGCCAAAAAATCGCCAAGTTACCATAATCCAAAGATCAACCAAAGTTTTTACTGTTTTAAGCATTTTACTAAACCTTGAAACATAAATGTTCTTAATGATTTGTTAGATCAAGCTTGTGCTTGATAATAAATTTCTATATTTAAATATTAGGAATTTTACTTTTAATTACATTCTTTTGCCTGTAAAAATAAAGTAGCTTTTATAGCTTTCATTTTCATCTCATGGAAATTATACTATAGCTGCTACATTTTCAGTAAAATTTATGTATTTTAAGAAATTATTCTGTAATCAGTAAATTTGAAAAAAGGCTTCCGTATTATTTATTTATATGTTTCAGTTGGGAGAGCAGAGAACTTACTTAGGTTAGACATAAACCTTTGAATCATTATTTTCATTATTCGTTTAAATGCTCACAGTAATACCGTTCTTTTCCGAAAATAAGTCACTGTCTTACTTTCTTTTTTTGGTCCAAAATACGTGCTAGGGCTTATTTTCAGGGGAGGGCCAAAATAAAAGTATATTTATAATTTTTATTTAATATTTATTTTACACAGAATACAGAAATTTAAATTTATTCAGTTACAGTCATGTCATCTTCATCTGGAACATCGTCATAAATAAAATTCTGAATTATATTCTGATTTTCTTCCA